TTAGGGCTTTGAGGGTTTTGGGGTTTGGCGGTTTTAGTCGATAGGAAGTTTAGGGTGGTGGACGGGGCAGCCCAAAACCCCTAAACTCTACTGTAAATGCAAGAGAAGGCAGGCTTTCAAGAAGGCTTCAAGCACCTACACCTGTAACCCTAAACCCTACGAGATAGTCGGTTTTGACACTTTAAACCTACGCAATAGTATTTTCGGACCCCTTAGCTTAGCGGTCCGAGCAATGGGTTGCTTCCATGCGATATCGTCCTGGGTTTTGCAAAGGCTTATTAAAGTTTAGGGCTTAATGTAGGGGCCTTAATGGTTAGAGTAAGGCTTTGGGGCCCATTTTGCCATATTTTTTCATAAGGAAGCCCCAACATACACGTAATTATTTAGGCCCCTATAGTACCCTATCAGAGTGGCTTTGAGTCCCTTTAAAGGGTTTCTGCAAGTGTTCTATCCAGGTCTTTTTTGGGGGTTCTTAAAGGGCTTACGAAGAGAAGCGCTACACCCTAAACCCTAAACCCTAAACTCTAAACCGGCTGAAAGTTGAGGAGCTGATTGTCCCGGGCTTAACAGCGGCCAAGGGCATTGCCTTACTTCGCCAATAAGCCAGGGAAATAAAAGGTTAAACTTTCAGATTACTACTAAACTACAAGAACCCAAAAAGTTTAAAGGTTGGGTATTGAGGAACGAAGTTGCTGCCAGGAGAAGGACCGCCATCTGCCATTGGAGGCTCTTTTCGCAGGCGCTGATGGCGGCATTGAAGCTGATCTCATCAGGCTCAGCTCCAGGCTCTTGCCTAGGGTTTAGGGTTTAGGGTTTAGGGGTTTAGGGTTTAGGGTTTAGGGTTTATTGGAGGCCTGTTTTGTGTTCGGAATGTGCTTGTCCCCAAGGGTCCAAGCACCCAATAACCATATACTCTCCCAAATAGTAAATACTATCCGAAACCTAAGTATCTTATTATTGGAGGCCTTCGTTTGTGTTCTTAATGTGTTTGTATGTTTTAGACAGTCAAAGTTCTTGCAGTTTGCAACGCCTTGAGGCAGCAAACTGGAACTAAGTGAAACACACACACACACACACACATTCTTCGTAAACCCTAAACCCAAAGCCCCTAAACCCAAAGCCCCTAAACCCTAAACCCTAAACCCTAAACCCTAAACCCTAAACCCTAAACCCAAAGCCCCTAAACCCTAAACCCCTAAACTTCTTCAAGAGCGGCCCAGCTGCATGTTCCAGAGCAGTCCCAGAGCCCACTCCCAACGTAGGCTCTTCTCACAGGAGCTGATCGCCTTACCCAAAGGGTCCAAAGGACCCAATAATCAGGTACTTAGGTTTCGGATAGTAGTTATGTAGGTTACTATTTGGGAGAGTATATGATTATTAGGTACTTGGACCCTTACGGTCAGGGCTAGAGTCTCTCCCCAAACCCTAAACCCTAAACCCTAAATCCCCCACCCTGGACCCCCAGAAATTTCAATTTCCTTATCAGTGCA